GTGGCTGCCTGGCGTTCAGGCAAGTAGCATTCAGTCGTCAGAAGGCAGAGCTCTGGCAAAGCTGAAGCAAAAGAACACGAAGGGGCACAGCCTGGCTCTCTGCACAGATGCACATGCACGTAATAAAGGCGGTCCACAGAACCACTTCATGCCTTGGGGGAAAAAAAAAATTCCCGATGAGCCTCTGCTGCCCACTCTTCCTCCCTTTGCAAATTAGATTTTAGTGTGACTAGTAAATCGGCGTGTTTTTCTTGGAAATACACCTTGGCCAAAATAAAAAAAGAAATAAAACTTGTCTAAGACTGCAAATTGGTAGTGGTAGCCCCCACTACAGAACACTTCCGATTTAGATTTTAAAAGTACTATTATATTCCAGTTTCTGCTAAAGTGTCTATTTTAAAAATACATTTTCTCTTCAAAAGATAAAATGCTGCTTCTGCTAATGTAAAGCTGTTTAGAAATAGACAATCAGCTGCACTCAAGTACTCTCAAAAGTGAAAGTGAACAAATTAACTTTCTTTCCAGTTTTGAAAACTGAAGAGTGGCTTGTAACTATGGGTATAACATTTCAAGAAATACAGGCAGCTTTCCATAAACCTAGAGGGGCTGAGGATAGAAGAAACATGACATGTTTGGCTCATGGTTGCCAATCCACTGTCTTCTAAAGCGTGAAATATTTTCATGATGTTTTCTGGTGGCTACCAAACATGGCACAGACCCGGTAATGTTGATTTCCAGAAAGTTTTCCCTCAAATCCATAGCAGGATAAAAAACCCAAACAAACTAAAAAACCCAAAACAACCAATAATCTGGAAGGATCTTGATGCAGAGATTGCTGAGACAATCACATAAACTAGTCTTCAAGATAAATAGGGGGAAGTGTGGCAGAGTAGGAGTTGCCATCTGTAACAAGGAGATAAGCCCTTCAAGACAAATTCTGACCCCAATGATGTGAACATGGCAAGGGTTACCACCTAAGTTGTTTGTCACAGGGAGGTTTCACATCTGTATTAAGAGTCAGAGTTTGTGTGCCCTGCTTATCTCTGGTTTGCAAAGCTCCTGGCCATCACGCCATTTTCTCAGGGCAAGAATTTGGCCAGATCTGTCGGTGTTCCTCCTCCCTTCAGCGATGCACCTTGTGGTCTCCCTCCTCCTTCCAGCGATGACTGTTACCTGCTTCAAATCCTGGCTTCACTCAGCTCTGGAGCAGCCCATGGCAGATCAAAAAGTTCAGAAATAGGGTAACGAGCAGCTATGACAAACTGGGTCAAAGTACAAATTCAGCATTACCATTATGGGGATGGGCTTCTTTCCACAGGCATAAACCAGAACGAGCAGTAGTCGTCTGCTGTGAACCAGAAACTTCACACCAAGTGACGTAAGCGCACGGGCATGCACGAGACGCTGTGAGCTACACCAGTGTATTCAACTTTCAAAGGAAATCTAGGAATGGATTCTTCACATTTATCTGCATTGCCCTCCAGCATCTGAACGAAACACGCTTGGGCTAGGTCTGTCCAAACTTGGCCTTAGACTTCTCAATACATACTTCTCCAAGATGCCAAAATATGTCAATATTATCTGTCTTCAATCTGAAACGCTCTGCATAGTGTGAACTCAGCATTATTAAAAACCTCTAACCCCACATTTCTTTAATCAAAATGTACATGAAGACCAGATTTTGGTGTAGCCCCAGACAGAAACTGTACCTATAGCAATTATCAGATGTACAGTGACCCCCACTTGCCTGTTACTCCAACTGTTAGTGAAGACCTTGTCCCAACTCCCTTCTATTGGTTTCATCAATGCCAGAAGGACCCGTTACCAGGTAGTGATGGCCTAGGTGAGCAGGCCTGGGAAGGACTTCTCTTCCCTAATAAAAGTTTTGCTCTGAAGCAGCAAAGTTGCATTATCGCTTAACACAACTTAAACACAACTGTGCCACTTCAGACCTACTGAGCATGTCAACCAGTGCCAAAATGCAGGAAGACAAAACCTCAGCTATGTGAGACAATTTCTACAGGACTGGTTGAACTGGAGAGGTCCAAGTTCCAGCTAAGAGGTCGTAACCAAACCATCTGCAGAAAATACAGGCAAGCAAATATACAGACATCAGTAGATGGAGACGAGTGGTATCACGTGGAAGTGAGCAGATACACTCACTTTTTCTGTGAATACTAGGCAATTAGGACAAAGGTAGTAGTCATATTCATTGGTCAGCAATTAAGTGTAGAGCCCTTCAAGATAAGTTAAAGCAGAACAAAGGAACGTTGCCCATACTCTTTGTGCTGGAGACAGATATTTTGCTCAGTGACGCAAAGTCAACTGCAAGAGCACATTTAGCCCACAATGAGCAACAGAGAACTGTAATCCCTACTGAGCCAAGACCTCTGGATAGCAGTTATCTGGTCCTTCTTCACCATCAGCTTTTTGTGCCTTCCTAACTGAGAGAGGCCACAACGCCAGCAGTCTCCGAGCTCTCCCACCAGGTTCTTAGATGTAGGTCAACATGATGCTACCTCGGAACTGCGAATCCCACTTTGAGAGCAACATCATTGTTCTTCATGACAATGACAAGCGCTGCCAAGGCAAGGCGCATAGCATCTGTCCATATTAGTCTGAGAACCATTCATCTTCGGAGTCAGTGCTGAACTCCATGGCAATAAGCTTGCAAGTCCGTACTGGAGAACATGGTATTTAGTCTAAACAATCAAGCAATAAATGAAAGTTTTGAAAGGTGGAGAGAGAAAACGCTCCTATAGCTTTAAGTTTATTAAACCTTGCATGGTTGAAAAGCAAAAGACGAAAAACATGATATATTTTTGTTTATTATTGCTCTTAAAGGGCTTGGTAGTCAAATATACAAGCTATGTTCTATTAAACCAGAAGAAAATAAGATATAAAATCTATGCTCACTTTTCCAATCCAAGCCACCTGCTAATCTTCATTAGTGACATTAACTTCAGCTATTTCCAGTCATTTTAATTTATACATACTCTGTGTACGTGTGCGCGCACGTGTGTATAAAAACCCCTATCTGAGGAGATAAAATTCAAAATGAAGAGATTTGTGTTGGTTTTGTACTGTTTTGTGCATTGCTGTATATTTTCATTTTCCAAATGGTTACTGATATGTCTGTTTAGAAAAGCAAAATGTAAGTAACTGATGATGCATTTATTACATTTTCAAAAAGAAAGCATGACCAATAAGTTATGATAAGAAATACGAAATGTTGATTATTCTCCCCTTGATGTACATGCACTAATCCCATGATTCCTAATAGGGAGTTACATGCACTAAGAGGAGAAAAGAATCCCGTAAAGAGAAAGGCTATTAATTCCCTTCTCCTTTAAGCATCTCCCTTCTTCTCAGCATTAAGAAGGGATTTATTTTGTGAAATTCTTGTCATGCCCATTAATATACTGCTCAAAATGTAATTATAAAACATTGTCAATGGTCAGCCTGCTTTGCAAGCCTCACTCTGCTAAGCCAGTAAAATTTATATATACTCAATATCATCTTCAGGAAGCAAGTATACAGCATTTGTAACATCTTTCTAAGAAGCAAGAATTATATCCATTACTGAATTACTTACGAAAAAAGAAAAGAATAAAGAAAAGCCCACTGCTTTTAGTCCTCCAATTAAAAAACAGGGAAAAGTCAAGAGAGTTATATTTATCAGCATTTGGAAGTCTAACCATATTTAAAGACAGAGTAGAAAAACATCCAGCAAGGAAAAGAGAGTCATGGCTAGGCTCTGTTCTCCTCAATTCCCAAAGCATATTCCAAATTCCACTAACATTAACAACAGTTTTGCATCCCCTATCTTAGGGAAGATTTATTGAGGGGACAAAGATGACATACTAATGCTGGGGCTATGGGTACAATGATTCAGTGATGATGAGTCTAACAGGAGACAGACAACATAGGTCATCCTTGAAATCCTCTTGTTGAAAAGACCACAAATAAAAATCAAGTGCATGACAGAACAGTGATTAATGACCCCAAGTAAAATATTTTTCTAAGTTACAAAATTGCTCTTCCAGTGTTTGAAAACGGAAAAACCTGTGGGAGAAGAGGTTACATTCCAAAAGTTAAAGTAAATACGAAAAGAAGGTAAATTATTACTCTTTTATCTTGGTTACTAGAGCAAAGATGAAAATAACAACCAGTGCTTTGATAAGATCTGCTCTTTACAAAAGTGAGATAAATATTCTAGTGGCAGCTGGGTTAAAAATACAGACCCCGAGGGTCAGCTTCTGCCCTCAGCTGTAGATCTGCAACCCATTTCACCAACTTCTGAGCATAGCCAAATGCAGATTGTGGCCTTCAGACTCGAACATACAGGTAGTTCCCATCTGTTTGCAAGTAATTCCTCAGCTATGCATACAGCAGCAATCTACAAAAATCTCAGAATGTGCGTTTGCAAAAAGGAAAGGAAAAAAAGAAAAAAAAGAGACAGGTACAGCCATGATTCTGATCTCTAATTTTCTGGGGGGGGGGCGGAATCAAAGGTCAACAAGCAAAACTAAAGATATTTAAAATCCCTGAAGAGACCCCATACTCTTTCTAATGCTTAACAGCACAGCTCACCTTGCAATATACTTCACATTAACATCTAAAGCATGACCAAGTAGAAAGTGCAGCACACCCTATCATTACAGCACACACGGTAAGATCCTGGCCCCATCTGAATCAATGTCAAAACTCTCATTAAAAGTTCAAGAGATGCCAGTATTCAAAATCTGATTGCTACAGACCTCGCCTTTTCAAATTTTTGTAAAAGACGACATTTTGAAAACTATTGTGCTGATTTCTGCTGCTGCCTCCCAGTTTACTGAGAGAGGTTGGCTGAACTGGACTTTGGTGATGAGAGATGCGAACAGAAATAAAAGGAGAAAACGTCAGGACAATTGAATAAATTGCCTTCTTTGCACAACTCCAAATCCCACGGTCACCATTAATTCAGAAAACAAAACAAGCCCAAACAGATTCAAGATTACATAAATGTATAATGTGAAACAGGGCAAACAACACTCAAGACTGAAGTAATATTTTGAAATTAAACAGCCTTGAGCAGTTAGCAGGAGATACGATGAGAATTTTAAACTGTTTTAATACTAGTGGATCTGTTCTATGGTATGTGCTGATCAATAACACGCTGCTTCCAAACTCCACTATCCGTTCTCTCGCATTACAGAAGTTTTAAGACGTTGCCTGAAAATAAAAAGTATCAGTGTAACATACAAATAGGATTTCATCTGTAGCCATGACAACACAGCCTTTCCAAAATGACTCTAACCCAATGAGTATCTGTCGATTAATTTAAGAAGGGTTGTTTTTTCCTGGCTCATTAATAAAAAAAGTTGGAAATCAACAAACATTATGTTGGCTTTAGCAAGAGGAAACATTCAATGGCTCCTGTTGTAAAAGTGAGTGTAGTGCTCTTGACAGAAACCAGTGTATTCAGTCATCTGAAGATGCACGTGGCCATGGCCAATGCCCTCGTTTCTCCCCCCACCCTCAAGTCCCCCAACAAAGCAAGAAAAATCAGTTCTTCTTCCACCCCACCCCAGATTTTCTCCCATAGTTTGACTACAGTAATCCTTAAACAGGCAGAAAGTTGATGCGTTCTCTTCAGTTGATGCCTCCAACTTCTTCATTCTTGGCTCAAGTTTTATTCATTAATATTAGTCATCAGTTATTAAGAAAAAGATAGTTTCTAAGTGTTTGTTGTTGTTTTTTTAACTGAAGTTAATCGGATACCATAGTCTGGTTATATGTGCTGAACTGCAGCTGTCAGTTATTCCTTTTTCTTGAATTCTTGGTTCCCATAGCTGGAGCCTTTTTCTATTTCAGTTACTCCTATCAGTCTACGAACTCCAAAGGAAGCTTTAAAATATAACAAAGAAATGGGAGGCATATTAGAACCAGTTCAAGGATCTAGGAAATTACATGTAAACACATAAGCAGAAGCAACATGAGTTAACCCAATCCTGAAGACAGCAGTGACTACAGACCAACAGTGCGCTGTATGAGGCTGCACATGGATCACAGGTCAGATGTCACTAAAAGAGGAGGACAATCCAGATTTAAAAATATAATTAATGCTTCTATGTTGGTTAACAGGATAGGTAGTATGAACACTGAAGCACATCCGCCCTCCCGCCCCCACTTGGTTTTGGGGTTTTTTTGTTAAGGTTTTTTTGTTTGGGGGGGCGGGGTGTGTGTTTGGTTTTGTTTGTTTGTTTTGTGTGGTTTTTTTTTTTTTTTTAATTCACAGACAAGGTGTGCAGTAAGAGTATTTTGTCCTTCAGGCACCATAATAATGGGCTACAAGACTCACTTGCTATTGATTGCTATAGAGATTGCCTAAGATATGAAGGCAAGCCTGCCTGGATTAAAGCTTCTGAAATAATAAAAATGCTATATAATATAAAGACTACAGAGTGAGCTCCAAGTACTCTTCTGCAAGCCCCCCCATTCATATTAATTAATACACAGAACTTTTTGGAGGTAACGGATCCTGTTACATGTCACTCTGGGCTTAGCATCTTCTCTGCTTTTATTACCTGCTCCAACAAGTCCCAGGAATGCTAGGATAAGGAGAGGTGATCCACTTGCAAAAACTCCAAAGCCAAATGTGAAGAGAGGAGAGAGGAGAACTGTGGCCCAAAAAAGAAAGTTTAGGAGAGTCCATGGTCTCCTAGGAGGTTTAAACTGCTGACCAGGGAATACGCCTTCCTGATTATACATCTCTTGCAAAGCATCCTGGGAGAAAGAGAACATAGAAGAAAACACGTTCATAATGTTTGCACCAAGCAACCCAAGACTAGTCAATTCCAGGACGTCAAGGACAGTATCTGTGGTAAACACCCATCAAGAGTACACAGCATCCATTTCCATCTGCTGTCATTTATTTGGGCATTTCTGTTGACCGCCGAGGCTACCGTATTAGCGCTTTGAAGACAATCTTGGCCACCATGAGAAACTGAAACCATATTAGTCTCTCCACTACCAAATACCTTCATCTCTTCTCTTAATTGCTTAAGAATTTAGGGCAGCAGCAGGCCAGAGGCCAATTCAGACACCTCTTTGCTTTTTCTTCCCATTTTTACTTCCAAAAAGGTCGGCATGATTTAGCACCACACAGCAGAAAAAATGCTGTATATACAGACAAAGAGGAAGGCAAAGCACAAGCTAACCAGCAAAGACAGCACTGTGCTAGCCACAACCCCAAGACTTCAACAGAGCAGTTGCATCCTGAGCTGAGCCTGCAGGGAGATGCAATCATGAAACACATCACTCAAAGGAGCAGCATGCCCAGAGTCTTCCCTCAGTTTGTAAGAAAGTTCTGTAAGGTTTCCGAGCCACTACCAAGGATGGCTAAAGTTTGGCTATTTCTTATCTTTCCCACTTAAGCTGTTTTTGTTTTAGCTTCCTTTACAATGGGCTGAGAAGCGCAAGGCGTTTCTTGCCAATTACACAGCCTTTTGAGGGCATACCCTTTGTGCGGGAAGAGCACTTCAAGGATTCCAGTTACAACATATGGCTACCACCATAAGATCAATATATAAAATACCCACATGTATAAGTAATACCTCCCTGGCAACACCTCACACCAAAGTTGAACGGAGGTACAGTGAACACCAGCAAGGAACACCAAGCCCTCCATCTGCAAGCAAAGCAGAGCATTCTGCCCAAGGAATGGCACCAAGCGAAGTGAATGCTTTGTGCTGCATCTGCTTAGCTATGCATTTACTGTTTAACAAAGCAGGAGCCAAGCAGAGAAAGACCACCCCTGTAACATAAACCTTAATGTCTACTCCTCCAGCCAGGCAATGTCAGACGGAATTCTTGCATCTGAGAGCCTTTTCACAAGGGAATTACATGATGGCATGTCCCTGATAACAAGAGGCAGGATTCAAGGATCCCAATTTTTTTTTTTTTTTTTTTTTTTTTAAGCTCTCTAATCCGCTATTACACTAACTGAACCATAAGCTAGTTTGATACACCTGCTAATGGGAGGGGGGGGAGAAGACAATTATAGCTACTGCTCTTTGTAAGATTACTTCTTTCCCCTTAATTGAATTAGAGCTTAGATATTCAAACAAATTAGCTTAAAATGAACAAAATGAAACTCATAGACCAGACCCTTACAAACAATCCACTGCCTACCTACAGACTAAGCGTAAGCTTGGAAATACTGCAGCAGAGGTCATCATTGCAGAAGAAAGCCCAAGATAGTTAAAGTTTCTGTGCTCCTCTGCTTTCCCACAAAGATAAGCAACACAAAAATCGAGATACACATTTCAAGTTCAGCAATCCACCAATTAGGGCTGGGCAACATTAATTACAGTTCTCTCCTCCTCCCGATAGAACTGTTAAATCTGTGGTAAAGAAATTAACCATCTAAGGTGAAAAAGAAAAGACAAGAGGAAAAGCTTTGAGCTGTTTGAAGGCATGCTGGCCATGTGCTACACCAGTCCCTGGCAGCAGATCCCAGGGACTGTCTGTACCATGTCACACACCACTGCAGAGGTATTACCAGGAGGCAGAAGGAAAGTGACAGTGGAAGAAACATGAAAGCAAAGGACAATTGCAGCTAAGAGCCAGGACCGGCTGCCCCTGACATACAGTTATCACTCTTCTTGAGTGCCTAAAAACACCCACATTTAGAAATGTATGACACAAGACACAAGAGCTGAAGAATATAAAAAGACAGTGGATTGCTATTAGTCTTCCACAACACAGGCATATCTCTGAATCCCATTGTGCTTCCCGGCAATTTGAGACCTACTCACTAGTCAGCCCTCTGCAGCCAAGGGGTTCTTCTGTACTGCTTCTTCCAGCAGTTTGAGGGATGGCTGCCGAATTATACATAATATTTCCACCTCTCCTCTCCATCCAGTGGAAGAGTGTGCATTACTCAGTGCCTTAATATACTACCCCTGTGAAAGTCCCAAAAGAGAGAAAAGAAAGCAAAGCTGTTTACCTTCTCCTGATAAAGCTTATGAAGCCAGTTTGCAGCTTCCTTTTCATCTCGAGGGATATCTTCCAGAGGAAATCTCCTAGTTTAGTAGAGAGATAAAAAAAGGGGAAAAAAAAAAAATTAAGGGAAAATCCTTTAGACTTTAGACGTCTACTAGAGAAGATCTTCCATTCAATGAAGGGCATAAGCTACAGGTAATACTGTCACTGATGGCAGAGGTCTTAAATGCAGAGAAGAAATGGGACTTAAATAACACCCGATTCTCCACCTAAAACTCAGATTCCTAAGACAAAAGAAACTGTACAAGCTCGTATCAATTTCAGAGCACATTAGTAAAACAAGCATTTCCCATTCAAACACTGTTCTTCCTTCACCGGCACCACCAACAGTTGATACCCAGTAAGCTCAGACTGAGGCACCCAGAGCTGGGAAAAGACAAGCAAGCGGCAAACCCCAGGATAATTGTTTGTTACATTTTGTTAGTGAAAACCCCATTTTGGAAGGAATGGGAGGGGTGGTTAAAAATTCACTTTGTGCCAACTCTAAGGAAAACATCTTTTACAGCAACTGCACTTCTCTCTCCTTGCCTCTCCAGCCCTACAGATTGAGGCTTGCAGTTCTGGGTGCATACGAAAATTATGCCCAGCTCCAGGTACTGAACTGACCTCACTGAGAACAGGCACCTTTTAAGAGCCTCTTTCTAGTGGCGAAGAGCCAACCGTTTTCCTGCATTCTTTTATTTTCCGAGATAGGCCACTAACACGCGCACAAAAGTGTCATCTCCTTTCTCAGTCCTGCATCAATTCAGAAAGAAGCTGCTCGGTTTGTAGAGGGCAGGCACACCTTACTCTCAGCTCAAACATATTTTGGCAACACTTGGACTATATCAGGGCCCTCTTACAGCAGGGCAGTAAGAACAGAAGGGTGACCTCTGGGAGGTCTCTAGACACAGCGATCCCAGATACAACTTATTTGCTGCTGTTCAACTGGGGAATATATGTCCGCTGTACAAACTAAAGCCTTCGAGTCTGCAGCAGCAGAGGGAAGATATTCTAATACATTTCTAATAATTTCTGCATCCCATAAACGAATTGAAGACCAGATTTTAAAGATTTACTTTCATTAGCTCTAACAGGAGGACCTGCTCAATTAATGTAAACAATGCTCAATAAAAGCTCAGTAAGAAGTCATTTGCTGAAAGCTCTCTGGTAAAATTGTCGCTCTACTGCTATCACCACTAGAGGGTACTCACAGCAGTAACATTTGGTAATTTAGCTGATTATTTTCTCTGGACTCAGTCCGGAGAAAGACTGGATCCTCTGCAGAGAGCTAAGCTTCTTACCTCTGCACAGGTAATTGCATATGCATATACCAAGAACAAGAGCTTACGTGCTTTCTTTCTCTGTTCTAAGCTAAGTCTGCTGGCACATTAAGGACACGTTCAATTTTCAGCAAGACGACTGTAAAAATAGTTTCCTTATTCTCATAGCTTCCTCTCCAAAACAGAGAAAAAGCTTCAAGCGTAGAAAAGCATCTTGAGAAAGTTGATTCAGTCCACACACATATTTTAAATCACAATTATCTGAACATAGTAATTAGTTTCTTTAATAGGGTACAATTAGTAATTTTACCTGGCAACATCATCCTCAACAGAATTTTATGAACCCAAACCTCTTCTAACTACTATTGAAAACTACATTTCTCTTCCCTCCTCCCACTATCTCACCAATAAATAAAACCCACTTGCATCTCCATTAGCAAGCCATAGGATATTTAACTGACTGCAGCTGTTCTTCAATGTATAATTATACAGATGTACACCCATGCATGTGTACCCCACATCTAGCTAGACATGCTACGTGCATCTGCCATCAGTATGGAATTACAGGTGGTATTACAGCCTGACCAGCTGTTTTGCTAGCTGGTAACTTGTCTGCTCACTTTCCTCATCAGGAATATGTCTGGCAAGTGTAAATAGTCAAAATGAAACCCCTTGCAAATGAGTGACCCCATCACTCTCCCCATCACCTCCACAGCCTTCTTTCCAACTGAAAGACTAAAATGTGGAAATTGCAGCATCTGAGAACAGAACTGGAACACATGTCCTTCCCTTCCCCATTAGGGCTGCAGCACTCTGCCTCCCCTGGGATAGCATTTCTTCCACAAAACTGTTGCTGCTATACCTTGACACAATGGATGATCAGTGTGATTCCCTGCAAAGTCTTTCACCATTGGAGGCTCTGGCAAGACACACCTGCTTCCATTAGAAAGACAATGTATACAGCCTGTGCCATGCATCTGCAATGCAGACTCAAGGCCAGAGGGGAAAGGTGTAGTGGGAAGTAGCAAGGCTTTCTTCCCCCCCCCGCCCCCACTTTAAAAATCAAACATCAACCTCATCACCAGAATGTAGCAATGTTTTCCAAAGTGTGGGTGAAGTCCCCAGAGAAGCAGAAGTGAACTGTCAAAAGAACTGTGGAAAGAACAACCAGGTCATTTGTCAGGTCCAAACATAAAAGGGAAAAGAAATTCAACAAGAAAGGGTTGGTAGTTTTTAATGATCACAAGGAAGCCTTCAAAGCAGAAGGCAACAAGAAGAAAGCAAGAAAGAGAAAGCATGTATGTGTGTGTGTGCATGCACGTGTGTACGTGCTGCATGGAGTTAGGTGTCAGCAGTTACTCTTTCAGGCAAAAGAGTAATGAGGAATGTGAGGAATGTACCACCTTGAGAATGGCAATGAAGCTGGTGAAGGGTCTGGAGAACAAGTCTTATGAGGAGCAGCTGAGGGAACTGGGACTGTTTAGCCTGGAGAAGAGGAGGCTGAGGGGAGACCTCATCGCGCTCTACAACTACCTGAGAGGAGGTTGTAGCGAGGTGGGGGTTGGTCTCTTCTGCCAAGTAACCAGCGATAGGACGAGAGGAAATGGCCTTAAGTTGCGCCAGGGGAGGTTTAGATTGGACATTAGGAAAAATTTCTTTACTGAAAGAGTGGTCAGGCCTTGGAACAGGCTGCCCAGGGAAGTGGTAGAGTCACCATCCCTGGAAGTATTTCAAAGATGTGTAGATGAGGCGCTTAGGGACATGGTTTAGTGGGCATGGTGGTGTTGGGCTGATGGTTGGACTCCATGATCTTAGAGGTCTTTTCCAACCTTAATGATTCTATGATTCTATGACCTCATTTATACGATGTCTAAATTTCAGCATTATTTAACCTCTAATCTGCTAATCAAACCATGTGAGAGAAGGAGAGAAACTGGCACAGTAAGGAGCTTTACACCATTTACTACAAGAGACTACTAATGTTGGACAGGCTATTTATACTATGCATGTGCGCACAGAGGACTGGAAAGGGGGCAGAACAGTTGATTTTCTGTTTCCAGCACAGAAAGGAAAAATAATGACTAGTGGCCTCACAGCACAAAACTTGGGGAAACCCCGTAACGACAATGTGGTCATACCCAGGCTTAAAAAGTCTGCCCAGTGCTCTCTGACTTGCTGGGTGATATCATGGGATCTCACACATGAAAGCGAACTAAAGCAGGGGGGAAATGGGGAGGTCTTTGTAGCCTGCAGAGAAGCTTGAAGGTCAAGGAAAAGGGGACTACAGCAAAGGACATTACCCTGTAAAAAATCTGAATACACTTCAACATGCCAAAGCATGCATTTTAGTCTCACCTCCATCATTATATGCTCACCTTACACACATATCTGCTTCATATTTCTTTCCATAAAGAATTCCTAATAAAGACGGGTTCTTGTTTCCTCTGAAATTTAGTGTTACATCATACACTGCTGAAACTGTTACAAAAAAGAAAACATGGCTGTTATATCAGCAATTCTAGCAACCATGTTGCTGGCATCCTTGCATTAGACAGCAACAGGGCCTTGTGCAAGCCTTGCATTAATGACGTCAGGTAGCAGAGTCCTTCACTACTTTGTGTTTACGTGTTGTATTTATCTGTATCAGCCACCTGACATTCCCATCTACGTAGTGTGTATGTTACCAAAACACAAGACAACTTGATGAACTAACCAACAATGACATGCATGAAAGGTTTATTAATTTTTTAAGACTGGTATCTGAGAGTTATGTGGCACAAATTAATGGCTGACATGCTGAATGCCTATTACTGCCCACTGACTAACTGCAATGGACGTAACGAACAAGAGTATACTACACTGTGCTACACAGAGTATACTAAACAACACGTTACAATGAATGCAAAGAACAAGTAGCAGCTTGCCGGTACCTGTTCCCCTGAGACACTGGACAGCAGTGGTGAAACCTTTGGTTCTGGGCAACAGGTGGTATTTCAGTTTAGGCAACCCCTTGGATTCAGCTACTTCCATACTGATACGATGCTTGGTCTCTGTAAAACGAGTTCCTTCACAGTACAGGAGAAACTAATACAACAAGACAAAAGGCAAAAACAAGGACATCTTGAGATCAAAAGAAACCAAGCAGAATACTGAAAATTTGTGTAAGATAAACATACATCCATGCATGCACACACACTTCAATTGTCTCATTTGATCATCAAGTATTAGGCATAAGCACCACCTCACAACTCATTTACAATTGTATTTAATTTTAACAACACTGGTACCAAATTTAAGGCGACAAAAAGTCTAAATGGTTATACCTGAAACGTTTACTTAAAAAATAGAAAAATCCCTGAAGGCTTTGGCTGGCTGGTGATGGACTAATTTACAAATCGGAAAAAGCAATCCAAATATCAGTACATGACCACTTTAGAAAAAAACATATTAATCACTAGCTACCTGTGCTCTACAACCAGAATTACTCACCTGAAGACAAACTTGTTTGTCTGAAAGCTTTTCTGATTTTTTTTTTCATTATTTCAGTTGTGTTCATGAAAAATGGTGCCCTTCCCTAAAACCTTTACCTTGTTCATCTTGTAAGGCACCAATCTGACTGTGGTATCCTAAGCAACTATTAAAGACTTAAATCCTCCCATACTGACTTCAAGCAGAACAAAACACCGATCTGTCCTTCTCCAGCCTCTATATTGCCTCTGCTCTAGTTGAGAGAAAGAGAGAACAGAAGCAATACAAAGCCAAAAGCAGACAAACAAAGCCCTTCTGAGGGCCCTATGGTGAATTTCTGTTTATCCCTGGCCTTTTTGAAAGGTGGACATCATTTCTATTGTGCCAGCAATAGAAAACATTGCTGCATTTGAACACACAAACCTCTGCATCCCTGGCAAACAATGGAGGGGGACAAGGGCAGGCTGCTACTACTCTCTCACAGCAGTATCATGCAACGCTGTAATGTTGCAATTCAAAAGAAAGACTTGTCAAATGCATCACTATACATCTGCTATTTGTCAGTAGTGTGGTTGCTTGACTTTTTCACTGTAGCGTATCCACACAGTGTGCACCACAAAAGGTAAGTTAAATGAATGTTAGAACTGCAAAGCCATACACGTGAGAGTTAGACCTGCCAGAGTGCAGCGAGAGAACGGGAGCTGGTCCTGCAATCTTTATTTGGCCCTTGAGGGCACGTTCATTATGAAAATCTGACCAATCATCACCACCAAGTGGTGAGGACAGCACAAGGTACAGAGTGTAACACTGCAATCTCAACCCCAGTCTGCAATGCAAGCTCTTTCCTCTACCAAATTCTCACCCTCTTCTACTCAGCGGCGCAGGGATCCTTCTGGACCAAGTATGCGAGCAAGGTACAGACTGCGCTGCAGTGCAACGTATGAGAAAGACCTCATGAAGGAAGGTTGCGCAGACAGCCCTAGTTGTGGCATTTAGAATGCACAAAAATTAGGAAATTGATTTACTCAAGTCAATTTTAATCATGATTTAAATTACCAAGCAGGAAGTCTTGATTTAAATAATCAATGCTAACTACGTTTTGCATTTATATTTTCTAGTTGTTTTCCCTGGAGACTAGTCCTTGGTTCTCAATCGTAGAATCATTACAATGTATAGATTTGCAACTAAAGTACAGTCTTGAGATTTTTTTTAATTGGTAGGGTTTTTTCTTTTTTTTCTTTTTTTTTCCCCAACACTAAATCAGGAGGATATATTAAATGCAGTTCATATCCATATATTCAAGCAATTAAGTAGGTTAAAATACATTCTCCAGATTCTTATTTTTTATATCTTTGTAATGATAGAAAATCGTAAATGACGCATTCACAATGTACTGGTTAAGGCTTACTATTTCACTATTCATTTTAACCAGCTGTACTGGATAATATTGAAAAAAATCACTTAAAATGCACAAAAAGTCTCTTAAAATGTTTTATGAGCCAAATAACTGTATATTACATGCGCTGCTATAAAAGCAAACCAGTAAATTTATCAAAACGTTTGCAGTCAAAGCTAAAAGAAGGTTAATAGGTTTATTATACCACTGTGTTGCTGCAGTAAAATCTAACAACATTGCACATGATGAAACATAGATGTTTCACTGTTGACTTCAAATAATGTGTCAAAATAAAAAGGAAAAGCAGAACTGCAAAAGCAGATGTAAGCTTGCCATATGTTCTCATAGGGACTTTCTGGGAAACCTGTCATTTCACAGATCAATGAACATACTAACAAGAACTTCCTACCAAAATCCATGGTCTGTGCATCCCCGCCCCACTCCCCCCCCAAATTCACTCACTTCTCCAGAAAAAACTTTTTTGTTTAGGTGTCTTTTTGGCCTACCTCAGAAAATGTACCTTAAGGTTATATAGATTTAGTAGTCAAATATGGGCTATTTTTTTTAAAAAAAAAGGTAAAAATAAGCTCAGACAAAATTAACAAGTATTACACAAGCCTGATTTATAAATTCTCGTCAAGCTTCTAATCATCTATGCAAGCTTCTGAACTGTTTCCCAAATGAATTCCCTTACCAACAGGCAAACAGAGCAACACTCTACCAGCATATCCCAAAAGACCTCCTGAAACAGAGCACAGGTTTTCCTCGACAACACTTGAAGAAAGTAGTGAGCAGACCTTCTCCTGATATATAAGGCTACAGTACCACATAAGTATCTCCGTCACCATTTCACTTCTAGCAGTCGATACTAGAGGAGGAACTCGACACTTACCCACATATATTCAGGATAATCAGCCAAACGTTTTAATCCTTCAATAACCGTATCTCTGTCTTCTTCCCATTTCCTTTTGCAGAAAACAATCTCAAGGAAGTACCACGTCCAGCCAATTAGGGGCACATATAGTAGCTCTCTTTTAGCAAGAACTTTGGAACTCTTGGAGAAAAACAAAAATAACAATCCAAAAGTGTCATTTGCTGATTTGTACAATGAGATCAAACAAAGACATTAAACTTAAGATGATGAAGAGTTGATGGAGTTATATCTGGAAACTCAAATGCAAAGAAACTCTATGTACATGGCTTTTAAAGAGACCTATAGTCTTCCAGATGAAGGGAAAGCTCATGGCTCCACGTACCCCTAGCACTCCGAAGCGCTCTGTCATAGTCCAGCCGCACAAGAAGTCGATTTCAAAGTTGTGATTCAAGATGATGATGACGTGTTCTTTCCCAAAGGTGTTCACTGTGGCCTCATCTGAGAACAAGGTGCACTCTGTGCCTGACCACCATTCCAGCAGCATTACCAACTCTGACAAACATGATGAAGATAGAGAGAGGAGTTAGGGGTGCCACTTACAGAAAGCGTTTAGCATTTCATCTCCAGCCCCATTCAGTGACTAGTCTCTTCTCACTCCCAACAACACTGTCACCTTTTCAATCCAACCCAGTAGAGATGAAATGAGAGCTTAGATGTGTATAGACCAAATAACATCACCTTCCTTAAGCAGTATTTAGGGCACTAGATATATGCATTATGGATAATTTAACAAGTTTTTAACAGTGACAAGTTTGGGCATTATATTATGAATATGAAACTTCATGATCACTGGAAAAAACTCAAAACTTTGTGCCTGAAAACAGACAGTTGAGCTGTTGATTGCTCCACTAAATGAGTACAGTTTCTCCCAGGTGGAATACAAATAATGCATAGATGCAGCCTAATGCTTTTACTCAACATGAAACAAGCTTTATGGAGGTACACAGACCAATAAAGGGCTTTTAAAGGGATACAGTGCCATAGATCTTCTGCAATAGATTTTAATATTAGAACACAGGACTCTAATCGTTCTGTATTATGGTCATCAACACAGAGTCAGAAGCACCAGAGAATCAAGCTAATTTATCAAAATACTTGGGCAAAGCCAGGAATGGTAAATTGTGTCTTTCTTTTACTGCAGAAGAAAGAATGAGCCCTTCCTCCTCTATCTTCTCCAGCTTTTCAATATCCCAGCATCTCTCTTACTCCATCCTTCATTAATTTCCTTCATAATTTCCTCCATTACCCACTGTTCTTATTTTCCACCTCCCCTTTTTTCATCTTAAAAAACTCTTCCACATAAATTCAGCATGCACTGAATGTAGTTGCTATGGTTAGCCTATTTCTCTCATTTCAGTACAACCAGGCAGATGGAAGGCATTGCTTGTGTCATGGGACAACTAAAAAAAGTATGAGAATAGTTCGTTCTCTCAGTAGGAAGGTTTGCTTCCATGCAAACTGTAGTCATTTCAGTGAGATATGGATACAATCAAAATTTGGTTGCACAAATATGGCCGTTGAAGTCCAACACTTCCCACATTACTACGACAAACTGGCAGGGTCAAAACTGGAAGGTGCCCCCTTGGTTCTCTACATCAGGATCTGCCACGCAGTATTTCAGCTTTCCATCAAGAGGCCCTGGTTTTGCAAAACGAAGCGGTGCCTTCCTGCACAAGGGTTTCTGATCAGTAGGATCACGACAAGGTAATCTATCCATACTGCTAAATAAGAGTGGGTCCAATTTTGGAACGCATCAGAGAGAAGGCAAACACAGTATTTGGATGAATGATAGGGAAAACCAATCCTGGTCTGCTGAAGATACAAAGCTTCTCTAGCATTAGTTTTTTCACTTATATTCCCCATGTGACCACTTATCCGTCAGGTTATTCTCCTGTATCATTTCCAAGACTCACTCATTTGGAGGCATGACAGTTATGCAACTTGCTGATCAAGAGAGCGTAACCCTGGTAAACTGGAAATACGGCAGAGGAAAGACAGAATAGTTTATACCAACTAGAGGTTTCTATCATTGCTTTCCAGCTTTGTCTCCTTTGCAAATGATGTGATCACTTACCTTTCTTGCTCTGGTTATCCTGGCTCAGTAAAAGGGGAAAGAGGACAGCAAGAGTGTCCTCAGTTAAGAGCTATCCTCTTCCAAGCAGGTGGCCAGGAGAATGGAGTAGTGGTACCAAACACAGTGTGGTACTCTGAGTGATTTTCCCTTTCCATTGCTGTCTATCTACTAAGGAGGAACATCTCCAGTACCTGCTACAGTTGCTGCATTTTCTTATCTAAGATAAAATGGGTGTGTTTCTTCTTCAAAATTGGAAAAAAATTCTGCAGAGGCAGGTGTGGATGATTTTCTGCAGAGCATTTCTTGTACCATTCACTCTAAAACAGTGGAGGAAGCTTTGCTGAGAGATTTGCCAGAGTTCATACTGAGAGAGGAGGGTTGATGAGCTGGGGAATTAATACGAGGAAACAGATTGTCCTTTACAAGTGTACTGATACATGATGTAATTATAACTGGGAGTGGGCTCATTTCCTTTTTTTTTTGGTGTGTGGGTTACAGCTATTTTGCATGTCACTGATCCTGCCGATGCTACAGCAAGCTCATTCTTCTGAACGAAGGGACGATAACGCTTGCGCTGCTTGGGATACTTCCTATAGAGGACAAGCAACACCTCACTACCACAACCCCCCTCCTGCAGCTGGGATTCCCGCATGCCAAAGGCAGGTTTATGGCCTCGCAAGCCACCCAGAAACAAAGCAAACAAAAAAAGGGCGGACTTTGGCCTGCTCAGGACACTGGTCGAGAGGGTCTCTTGGAAGGCAGTCTTGAAGGGCTTAGGGATCCAGGAAGGCTGGACGATCTTC